CAAAAGTGGACCAATACGACCGGTAAAGGGTGGAGGGGGCCCTGGTCGGGCCCTGGCCGGGGCGGAACCTACCGCCGAGCAAAGAGGGGGCACCCAGAACACTTTCGGCCAGTGAAAGCCCCCGAAAACAAAACCCGCCCGGTCCGGAGCGGAGGTAAGAGAAGGAAGCGGGAGCGGTAAGGGGGAGAGGCGGGACGCTGCTGCCCGTCCCCAGAGCTCATTAACCACATACCTGACGGCCGGAGGGTTAGGGAGGCGGGGAGGAGTTGGCTGCGTCTTGTTCGCGCAGCCGCCCGTATCGGCTCCAGCGTCGCGTTCGCAGCGTTTTATCGCCAAAGGCACCGCGCAGCTGCCCAACGGCTTCTGCGATTAACGCCAGAGGAATGTTGTTGGTCGACGCGTCCGAATATTTTGGGGTGCAACTGCTACACATAAGACGGTTACAATTAACAGAATGCGGCTGAAAAATTAAAAACAAACAAACGACATGGCCAAAATTTTGCACTTTTCGAGGGGTCCTTCCTAAACGAATGCGTTTTAGGAATAGTTAGGGTAACACATGCATGAAGTCGGCTGTGCTGGCTTTTCCACGCTGTAAAAACCTTACAAAGCAATGCTTTGTGTTATAAAGCATCCAAATAATTTGCAAGCTTAGTTTGGAAGGATTTGACAGTGCAATTCCCAGATTTGCACAGCCGCACCAAACGTAAACAAGAGGAGAGGTGAGCGGCAAATAAATTATTTTACATTTCAATTCTTTACTCTCTTTTAAAGGTTTGTTGGAGAGGCATTTCCCTCAAATCCAGAGCTCCACACAAGGGGCGCAGGCAGGCCGCCCAGTAGAAGTCCTCGAGAATGGCGACGTCGCATCGCTGAAGCCACCCCGATGTTCGCGTGATCATACAGAGGAGGTGCCACGCCGCGCCGGGCGCAGGTCCCGTTCGTACTCCTCGCACCAGGAAGGTTACCGCAGTTACAGCATCAGAATGTCACTTACCGGGGCAGGTCTGCCGGGCCGTGGCAGGGCTCGCATCAGAGCGGAAGTCTCCGGGCGTCCACCTCCTCCTCCGCCGCGGAGGTCATGACGGCGGCACCGCACAGCAGCAGCCTGCAACAGGTCGGCCATCAGGGTTGAGTGAGGTTAGGAGCCGCACGGCCGGCGGCATTAGAGACGACAGGGACAAAATAGAATGAAGTCAGTGTGACTGTTTAAGATTGGACGACAGTGTGGTACAGTGCGCCCATATTTGTAAGGTAGATTTATGTTATTCTCGACGAAAAACTTCCGTGGATGGCGGCATATCTCTTGCTAGATCAATCGTTCCCACGCATTTTTCCTGCTTCACTTTTCCTTACCTTATAATGTCCTAAAGTCGTTCTTCCCAAATTTTGATTTCATAACATTTGTTTACTATTTTCTAATTTTTCAATTCTAATTTTTCCAACCTACGAGATGAATCCATCAGTTACACGGAGCAGTACTGAAACGACGTGAGGAGTGTCGCCAAATAAGGGAAAGTGGGGGCTCGACTTAATTTTTCTTTCATTTTTTTTCCGCAACTAGTAGCAGTGGCTAGTGTATACAGTGAGGCGGGCAGCAGTTACTCAGCGAGCAGTGTGCCGGGCCGGCGCGGCAGGGCGGCAACACTTTGCAAAACGTGCCTACCCGCTCCGCTGAGCCGACGAGCCGGCCGGACGCCTCTTCAGAGGTGTTCACACGGAGAAAGGCGAAGAAGAAGAAGAAGAAGAAGAAGAAGAAGAAGAAGAAGAAGAAGAAGAAGAAGACGAAGAGGAAGAAGAAGAACTTGTCTTAGTGCAACTGTACTTGCCGCAACATTATGTTAGGACAAGTACAAATGCCGATAAAAATCCTATCGTCGCAAGACAACGCAACTACTGGGCTTTTCCGGGAGGACTTCCCTGGCATGCACGGTGAAGAGCTCTGAGTTTTTGATGGTGACGGCGTAAATGTGCTGCAAAAGTCGAGTAGTCGTCTTTACGACTCGCCGATCGAGCGGACGATTACCACCTCCTGGGTCGATACACCAATAAGTCCCAATTCCAACAGGTGTTGAGAAAACCTTTCCAGGGTGAAAGTAGCAGAATTAAACGAAACATAAAAGGACAACATGTATTTAAAACTGAAAAAAATATCAACAAAAAACGGTCCAGCTCAGTGTGGTGATGCCGGAACGGGGCGCTCTCACGACGTCGGCCTGATTGGTTCGGAGGCGAGTGAGTGCGTCTGGCCATCAAAATCTCGACTCAATCAAGCGGATCTGGATCGGTGGGTCGGGCCTGCCTCGCGGCGCGGGGCGGAGGCGCAGGAGCGACGCAGCCTCCCGATGAGGCGCGGCCGTGACATAACGTGTGGTAACCCTTTTGCAATTACTGCTTATAAAGGGTGTTGAGAGCGGCTCGCTGATCACCCCATTGGCTTCCCCCTCTCTAGTCGCGACTTCCGAATTTATATCGGCGATGGTCGCGGCAGTGCTCTTTCGATTGTTCTCGCCCAGCCCCACCTCACCTCACCCCGCCCGGCCTCACAGCGTGCTCCTCCGCCCGCGGTGGAAGAGGTGTGGACGTGCCATAATAATTTTCTAGGACGCTCCACTCGTGCCATAAACATCTTAAGCGGCAGCTCAGCACGCGGCCAGACGCGTCGATAGGCCACAAGGAACCGAGAGAAAGAGACATAGAGGGAGAGAGGGGGAGAGAGAGAGAGAGAGAGAGAGAGAGAGA